CAGCCTGCAAAAATGGCACTGACTCCTCAGCCCAGTCCCCCTTCCTCGTGGGTCCCAGAGACCTCATCAGCCATGGGATAGAAAACTCTAGGTCCCTGAACAATCTGGGAACATATGTCAGTGATGGCTATTCTCAAATGCTGGCAATTCCAGGCTAGTGTTCCGTCTGGGCTCAGCCATCCACATAACCCTGTCACCACAGATCACCATCTAACTCAAAGACTTCCTCTGGCAAATCAAAGCAGCCTGTGTTTGACTGCTGGGGGTCCCTGTGTTTGAACTCCCTGGTGAGGCTGGTGAGGTACTGGTGCCTATCTGCCTGGAGGCAAAGGCCTGGACGGCTCCACTTGTGGGGCCAGATTCTCTGCAGCCCATTCCCAAGGTTGACTGTGACCGTCCATCAGGTCCTCTCTCAGGAGCCCCAGCCCTGCTCCAACTCCCTCATACTCCACGCCAAGTGCCCCACCACTCCCCAGCCCCTCTCCAGGCCTTTCAAGAGGGAGGAAGGAGCCCCACGGCAGCTCCTGACCTTGGGTCCTGAGGTGACCTCACTGGCCGGCCATGCCAGTAACTGTGCTGTACTGAACACTGAACCATTCAACCACATTCAGGGAAATGGCTTGTTGAACTTTGAAGCAACTAACTGTGAATTCATCCTGGAGGGGTGGTGGAGATCTAGAGTGACAGATCATAGGGTGAGGGCCACCCCCACACACCCCCCCCCCGAGAGAGCCTGGAAGAGCTGAGACCCTGCTCTGAGACTCCTCAGCACCCCTCTAGTTTTGCCTGAGAGGGGACAGATGTTCTAGGAGCGGAAGACCTCTCCCCTTCTCTGCCTCACCTGGTTGCCAATCCATGCTCTCTTTCTTTTCTGTCTACCCCTTGTCTCTTGGCTTAGAGGCACCCAAGATGTGGCCTTCAGCAAGACTCACCAATGTCCAAACCCACTCATGACTGCATGACAAGAGCCGAGCCATGTGCCTTTACACCTCGCTGTTGTCACATCTCAGGGAACTGACCCTCAGGCACACCTTGCAGAAGGCAAGGTCCTGCCCTGCTCAACCTCTGTGGGTCCTCCATGCATCTCCCACTGGAACATTCACTGCAAACATGCCTTGGAGAAGTTTCATCAGTCAACAGAGAGGAGCAGGAAGGAGACGCCCAGCTCGCCCTTGTCATGACCGAGGTTCCCACTCTGGGCAAGCCCCTCACACTGTGAGGGATTGTAGATAACACTGACTTTTTTGTTTTAACCAATAACTAGTTTCTCATAATGGTTTTTTACTAATGATACTTACAAGTGTCTAGCTTTCACAGACATATAGAATAAGGGTTTTTGCATAATAAGCAGATTGCTATTTAGGTTAACAATATTAATTCAGGTTTTTTAGTTGGAAAAACAATTCCTATAACTTTCTATTTTCTATAATTGTAATAATTGCTCTGCAGATGATGACTATATATTGGCCACACTGGTGTATGACAAGTACTGTATTTTTTTTATACCTAAATAAAGAAAAATCTTCAGGCTGAGCAAGATAGGGAGACCCTATCTCTACCAAAAAAAAAAAAAAAAATTAATTAGCCAGGCATGGTGGCAGGCACCTGTGGTCCCAACTACTTGGGAGGCTGAGACAGGAGGATCACTTGAGCCTGGGAGGTCAAGGCTTCAGTGAGTTCTGAACACACTACTACACTCCAGCCTGGGTAACACAGTGAGACCCTGTCTCAAAAAAAGAGAAAAAAAACCTTTGAGATTATTCCATTTCTAGAGCTGAGAGAGCACATGTACACACATACAAACATGCATACAAGCATGCACATGCACACACAAATACACATACACACACACCACCACCACCACCATCACCATCAGAGAACCTACAGAAGAGGGGATGTTTGTAGATTCCTAAGAATGTGCCAAAGCTTTTCAAAGACTGCTATGGACGGCTCATTCCTCAACTTTTCCTTTTAAAATTTTTGTTAGCTTCTTATTTGCCCCAGCCATTATCACTGCCTCAGGCAGCTGCAATGTTAAACAATTGCCACTGATTACTTTCAACAAATGCCCCCAGAGAAAAGGCTGTATGCATTGAGTGCACCAAGTCAAGTCAAATGAACACAGCCTTGCACGTGGAGTCTCTTCCAGGGAACTACCTACCAGACAAGTTGAATACTGACAGTTGTCTGGGAATTGGACTTTGCAGAAGCTCCAACCTTGTTCTGGTCTTTCTGTTTGTCTCTCGGCTGCTGGTATTCACCATGATTATGAAACCACTGGGTTTCAAGGCTACCACAAGTCTTGGGAGAAAGAGGACAAGTTAAAATACCATCAAGCTCTGCCAGGTGTGGTGGCTCATACCTGTAATCCCAACACTTTGAGGGGGCAAGGAGGGAGGATTGCTTGAGTCTAGGAGTTTGAGACCAACCTGGGCAACATAACGAGACCATGTCTCTATTTGGAAAGAAAAAAAAAGCACCTCACTGTTCTTACCAATATGTCACTGTTTAAAAAAAAAAAAAACAATAGTACTCCCTGGATTGTTGCAAGTTTTTTTGTTTTTTGTTTGTTTGGTTTGTTGGTTGGTTTTGGTTTTTGTTGTTGTTGCTGCTGTTTTTGAGACGGAGTCTCTGTCACCCAGGCTGGAGTGCAATCATGGCTCACTGCAACCTCCACCTCCAAAGTTCAAGCAATTCTCCTGCCTCAGCCTCCCAAGTAGCTGAGACTACAGGCACGCACCACCACACCCGGCTAATTTTTGTATTTTTAGCAGAGACAGGGTGTCACCATATTAGCCAGGCTGGTCTCGAACTCCTGACCTCGTGATTTGCCCGCCTCAGCCTCCCAAAGTGCTGGGATTACAGACCTGAGCCACCACACCCAGCTGCACGTTTTTTATTAATTTCCAGAGTTCTGAAAAAGTTGGTTTTGACAATTTTGGCCAGTATTCTCATTGCTTTTCTCGGGGAGAAGTGCTCCTTACTCAGCCATTTCTGCCATTGCCACCCCTTCCAGCTGGTTTCTGAGCTGTCTTCTCACCTATCTGAAGTAGTTGCTGCCTGAACTCACAGTTGTCCAGTCCCTGGAGCCCATGAAATCTGTCCACTACTTCCTTCTCCAAGAAGCTTCCCTGTCCCCAAGACACCTCCAGATAAGATAATCTGTGTCCCTCCAACCTTCAAAGGGGCCTCGCTCTGAGCTCCTGGCCACCCTGGTCACCTCCTCTGCTTGGCACCTGTTTACCCTAAGGTAGGAAGTGATCCTCACAGTGGCGGAGAGCCTGCCTCTGAATTTGTGCATTTTATTGTACCCCAACGTAGGGCACAAACCCAGTGCCTCCTGGAATCTTCTGATCACACTGCACATGCCTGCTCCAGCCAACCCGGGGTCCCAAGCCTAGTGAAAATGGGCAAGGCGAGCAGAGGCTCAGAGCCCTTGCCCTTCCCCAAGCGAAAACTGTGAAGCCAGCATGACCTTCCTCATTTCACAGATGGCCAAGGTGAGACCCAGCCGGGGTTCAGATGTGGCCAGAGCCACACAGGCAAGTTAGAGACAGAGTTGGGACTAGACGCCCTCCCAACCCCTAACCCACCCTCAACCCTTGCCTCCTGGGTCCCAGGAGAATGCGGATCTACAGACTTCCCAGACCTGGGGGGCTGGAGGCTGAACCGAGAGCATCGTCTGTGCCTGTTGGGAGGGTCACAGGAAAATGACCACTAGAGGGCGCGCTGTGTCAACAAATGCTCTGCCCGGGTCGGCGTCCGCAAGCTCCGCGCAGGGAATCCTGGCAATGGACCGCAGGTTCTGGGGGTCCTGGATCTTGACGGAGAACCTGGTCCAGCCCCACGACCTGCCTGGGCTCTCGCTACGCTCTCCCGTCGCGCCAGGGTTTGATGGGGTAGAGAGAGACCGGGACCTAGGTCCCCCACCTTCCCGAAGGAACGGGGTACCTGCTGTCTCCAGCAGCCCAGCCAGCGCCAAGAATCTCAGCTCTCCGGGAGCGCCTGGTCTTGGCTGCCGGATCTTTGGATTTGTGAGGGTCACAGTGCACCCCACCATCCCTCCCTGCACCGGGTGGCCCTGCCGCAGTGTCCACGCCCCGTCCTCCTACTCGGCCCCGCCCTGCTTTCGCCAAGCCAATCCTGGAAGGTTGACTCTGGGCCAGGAACAGGGCTGTAGTCCCTGAGCGCCCTGATTCCAGGCGCCTCCCAGGTCAAGAATCCTTAGGATAAATCTTACTGGCCTCAAGGTGACTAGTAGAGTATCTGATGTTCACAATCAAAACCGCTGCCCACCCAGCAATCCCCTTCCTAGGGATTAACCTAAGATGCACAGGGTGTATCTGCCACAGTAAGTTCAGTGTTATTTACAAGCAAAAAATTAAGAACAATATAAACGTTCAACAATAAGAGATTTAAGCAAATTATGGCAAATCCACATAACAATACCGAGCAACCATTAAAAGTCATATTGGGACGTGGTGATCGTGCACTAAATTCAAGGTCAAGGCTAAAAGCAAAACCCAGTGAATTCTTTACAGTCAGATCTTAATTGTTTTCTAGTAGATATGCATCTTCAGGTTGCAGAATTATGAAAAAGTTTTCTTCTTTATACTGTGTTTTCCAAACTCTCTATAAGCAGTATATATTATTTTTATAATCAGAAAAAAAAAGTTATCTTAATGTTGATTTCTAAGCACGTTCTTGTAATTGGAAAATAGTGAATTGCTAAGCAAAATTTATCCCCAAATACCATTTTCTAACACTAAAAGTTTCTGTTTTTTTTTTTTTTTTTTTTTTTTTTTTAAGTTTTGAATTCACGGCTAATGCAACAGAGACCTTTAAGAATTATCAGCCTGACCAACATGGCGAAATTCTGTCTCTACTAAAGATAAAACAAAAATTAGCTGGGTGTGATGACCGCTGCCTGTAATCCCAGCTACTCAGGAGGCTGAGGCAGGAGAATCGCTTGAACTTCAGAGGCAGAGGGTGCAGTCGCACCACTGCACTCCAGCCTGGGTGACAGAGTGAGATTCTGTCTCAAAAAAAAAAAAAGTTAATTGCTTTTGAAGTCATCACCCTTGATTCCAGAAGACTGTTGTTAGAGGGTGATTAATTTTGTTTGTTTGCTTACTTCTGAAGCATTTCTTTGAACTTGATCTGTGGGAGTCTAATCCTGTTAACCTTTGGAGTTCTTTAACCACAAATTTCCAGCCACTTTCTGGATCAGAGCAGTTACAGTGTATAAGATGAGGGAAACCCAGTTTTCCAGCCAAGTGAACTCCATAGGATTCTGCAATACATAGAAATATCCAACATTCCTCTTCCTCAAAGATAAGAGAAACCGCTGGGGCCCATTTCTCTCAGCCCATCCAGAGGTTATCTGGGATGTTTAGGAAATCTGTGTATTCTCCAACACTTAGGGAGACTTCACAAAACTTTGCAATGTGGTCTTATACATTGCAGAGAAATGTGCTTTCTATCCAGGGCATAGAAAGCACAGTTATCTTATAATATTCCTGTAAAATGGTTGCTGAGGGGATGTTTAATGTTGTTACACAGGAAACTGTGCTGAGTAGGGGCTTTTGTTTTCAGATGAGACTCTGGACAGGAAGTGAATCTTCACAAGGAAGGAAGCAACAAAATTCTACCTTGGCTTTTGCTGGCTGAGCAGGGAAAGGCCTGTAGACACAGGGCATTTTGGGCAAGAGCTGGAACAGCCCTCCCTGGAGCAGCCCTCCCTGGAGGACTACATAAAGCAGCCAGTATTTTGCAAAGCATAGGGAAGAGTGAAAGTCATCAGGGCATTTGCAAACACAAAACAGCCCTGAAGCGAAACACCAGCATGTACTGGGCAGGACTTGGGAGATAAGACAGGACATCCGAAGCTAAACATGGTGAGTCCATTTCCTGGGCTTTCTGGAGCTATGCAGCGTGATAGACTCATCCTGGCTTGCCCAGGACTAGTTTTAGTACTAAAAGTCCTGTGTCCTGGGAAACCCCTCAGTCCCAGGCCAGGTGGTCTGGTGGCTCAGAGTCAGCAGTCCTGGATAAGTCAGCACTCTCCTACAAGCAGTCATGTTTCTTAACCTCCCTGAGTCACAATTTTCTCATTTGTAAATAAAATAGGGTAATAAAATGCCTACTCTAAGTTTTTGTGAAATTCAAGGGAAATAAATCTTGGAAAGATAATAGAACCAAATTTTGCACATAGTAATTATTCAATGTTAACAGGAAGGAAAGAAGGAAGGGGAGGAGGAAGAAAATGTTAAAAGATTTTTTTTTTTTGGCTTTTTTTTTTTTAGATACAGTATCACTCCTCTGTCGCCAGGCTGGAGTGCAGTGGCGTTATCTCAGCTCACTGCAACCTCCACCTCCTGGATTCAAGTGATTCTCCTGCCTCAGCCTCCTGAATAGCTAGGACTACAGGTGCATGCCACCATGTCCAGCTAATTTTTATATTTTTAGTAGAGACGAGGTTTCACCATGTTGGCCAAGATGGTCTCAAGCTCTTGAACTCATATTCTGCCCATCTCAGCCTCCCAAAGTACTGGGATTACAGGTGTGAACCACCACACCTAGCCAAAAGATATTTTTCTAAGGTAAAAATCATAACTCTTTACTCATATAAAATGAATATGTATCAAAAGTTTTATTTAACTCATTAGTTTATGATAGAACCAGTCAGATGTTACAACCCACTGAAAGGAGTATTCAGAGAATCCCACAGTAAAGGCCGTAAAGAATGCTGAAATCAACTTGCATACAGAAATAAAACTGGTCTATCCACAGGGTAAATATCAACTGCATTCCATTGGACACAATCATTTGTACTCCCATGGGCAAGAATAATTTGCATTATTCTGAGTTTTCTTCAACTTACAGAGTTGTAAAATAGCTCAAAGACAATAAAAGGCAATAACCTAGAAGAGTGTACTGGACAAAAAAACCAGTAACATTTTTTTGCCTATTTGAAAGTCTTTCATAATCTTTCCTAACAGAAGGAAAGAAAGAAGGAAAGGACAGAGGAAGGAAGGGAAGGAGAGAGGGAAAGAAGTGTGGGTCTGATAGGATTTGGTTATGGTTGGCCTCTGTGTCCCCACACAAATCTCATGTTGAATTGTAATTCCCAGTGTTGGGGAGGGACCTGGCGGGAGGTGATTGGATCATGGGTTGTTTAAATGTGTCTTGCACTTCCCCCTTCACTCTAGCTCTCCTGCTCTGCCAGGTGAAGAAGGTGCTTGCTTCCTCTTCAGCCTTTTGCTATGATTGTAAGCTTCCTGAGGCCTTCCCAGGCATGCGTCCTGCAGAGCCTGTGGAACTGTGAGTCAATTAAACCTCTTTTCTTCATAAATTACCCAGTATCAAGTAGTTTTTTATAGAAGTGTGAGAACAGACTAATACAGGGTCTGTAGTGAAAAGTTTATACCAGAACTAAATGAATCACATGTACGGTGGGTTTATGTAAGCGTGGCTAAATGCATCCAGATGTTTTCTCTATCTATTGCTATGTAACAAATTATCACAAACTTAGCAGCTTAAAACAACATGTATTTATCACCTCATAGTTTTTATGAGCTGGGAGTCCAGGAATAACATTGCTGGGTTCTCTGCTCAAGGATCCCCTCTGAAAGCTACAATCAAATTGTCATCCACACAATCTTATCTCAAGCCTTGACTAGAGAAGGACCTACTTCCAAGATTACATCGTTGAATGAATTCAGTCCTTGCAGCCCGTTGAACTGCTGGCCTCCCCAACATACTCGCCTGCTTCATTGAAGTCTGCAAGACAGAGAGAGAGAGAGTCCACTAACAAGAGAACACCACAGTCTTATCTAATGTAATCACTGAAGTGGCATCCTGTCACGTTGGTCACCTTTTCTATCCCGTTCATTATAAATGAGTCCCAAGTCCTGCCACACTCAAGTGGAGGGGATTACACACGGCTGGAGTATCAGAGGTGGGGATAATTGGGGGTAATCTTGGAGTTCTTCCATCACACAGGAATTCTCAGCTGACCAAATCTGGGATTCTGCATCTGGCTATTCCTGAAGCTGGAGGGCTGGCATATTTTTCAGTGTCCATTTGGATCAGCTGATAAACCCAGGGTTTGTCTGCTGGCTGGAGGAGTAAAAACTATAAGGCTAATTGAAATGAATCTACTTAAAACAGTGACCTGATTTATCTAATAATTACTAGAAGGTAAGGGTTGATTGAGACTTTAAAATAAAACCAAAAATTATTTTAAGTTTTCATATTTTATGTAAGAAAGTTTTTATTTTTACTGCCAACATTTTCTAACTCTTAAAGAAAGGAAAATTCAAGTGTTGATATTCTCCCAATATATATATACAGGAATATAACTTAGCTTCCTTATATTTTATCTTTGATTTACACAAAGATAATTTTTATACAAATATTCCAGGCTCATTAGTTTTCCCAAAGGCTTCTCACAATCCTTTGATATTTAAATCATTCCCTCTTTAAAGTCATATTTTATCTTCCTTGTCAATACTCATTTTGTTAATTTACCCAACTCATCTGGATCTTCCTTTGTCTCTGACGTCGTAGATTTGAGTAATTGTCCAACAACACTCCTAGCAACTTTGTGAAATCCTTTGTCTTTTGCAAGATTTAAAAATTTCCTTTATAATAAGCAATCTATAGTAAGTGAAGACTCACTAGCAAATATAAATAAGTGATGGATCAAGAGAGACAAAGTGTTAAACATGGAGAGATGCAATTTGTAAAAGTGAAATTCTTAGTTACACTCTAACAAAATAAGTACAGGACCTGTATGCTGAAAACTACAAAATAGCAATGAAAGGAATCAAAGAAGGCGTAAATAAATGGGGAGATCTACCATGTTCATGAATTGGAAGGCTCAGAATTCTTAAAATATAAATTCTCTCCAAATTGATCTATAGAGTCAACTCAATCACAATCAAAATCCTAACTGGCTTTTTTGTATAAATTGACAAGCTGATTCCAACATTCACATAAAAATCCAAAGAATGCAGAAGAGCCAAACAGCTTTGAGAAAGGAGAACAAAGCTAAAGGATTCACATTATCTGATTCCAAAACTTCTTATAAAGTTACAGTCATCAAGTCAATATGGTACTGGCAAAAGAAGAGACACATTCTATGTATCTATCTGACTATAGATCTATGTAGAATATAATACAGAGTTCAGGAATAGATCCACAAATAAAATCAATTGAATTTTGACAAACATGAAAAAACAAGTCGGTGGAGAAAGGACAGAATTTTCAACAAATCATGCTGAAACGATTAGACATCCACATGCAGGAAAAAAATCTTTGACCTATATGTTCATTTCATACAAAAAATTAATTCAAAAACAATCATAGACCTAAGTGTAAAATATAAAAACCTTTAAACTTTTAAAATAAAATATAGGTAAAATCTTCATGACCTACGGTTAGGCAGAGTTTTTGGAGAATGACACTGAGAACTTAATTCATAAAAAGAAACAACTGATAAGTTGGGTTTCATTAAAACTAGAAACTTTTGCTCTAAAAAGAGCAAAATAAAAATTACAAGCATGAAAAAGAAAAGCCACGGACTGTCATATATCTGACAAAGGATATACAGACTATAGGAACTACTCTCAAACTTGACAGTAAGAAAATAAGCAACCCACATTAAAAATGGACAAAATATGGCCAGGTGCAGTGGCTCACACCTGTAATCCCAGCCCTTTGGGAGACTGAGACAGGCAGATCATAAGGTCAGGAGAGCAACACCATCCTGGCTAACACAGTGAAACCCTGTCTCTACTAAAAATACAAAACATTAGCCGGGCATAGTGGCATGCGCCTGTAGTCCCAGCTACTCAGGAGGCTGAGGCAAGAGAATCACTTGAACCCAGGAGGCAGAGGTTGCAGTGAGCCAAGATCGTGCCACGGTAGTCCAACCTGGGCAACAGAGTGAGATTCCATCTCAAAAAGAAAAAAAAAAATGGGCAGAATATTTGAACAGACACTTCACAAAAGAAGATATACGGATGGCAAATAAGCACGGGATTCTCAGCATGATTACTCATTAGGGAAAGGCACATTGAACCCACAACGACATGCCAATACCCATTATAATGGGGAAAACACTGACAAAACCAAGTGCAGAGCTACTGATGCACTCATACATTGCTGATGGGAATGCAAAATGATACAACCACTTTACAAAAACAGTTTGGCAGTTTCTTATAAAGTTGGACATATGCTTACCACATGACCCAGCAATCCCACTAAATACTCAATTGATGTAACAACCACTATAACACACAAAACTGAATTCATATGTTTATAGTAGCTGTACTCATAACACCAAAATCAGAAACAACAAAATGTCTCTCAACTGGTGAGCAGTGCTATGATCTGAATGTTTCTGTCCTCCCACATTTATATGTTGAAACCTAATCCCCAATGTAAGGGTATTTAGAAGTGGGGGCTTTGGGATGGGATTAAATGATGCAAGCAAACCCCTCATGAATGGGGTAAGTGCCTGATATGGTTTGAATATGTGTCCCTTCCAAATCTCATATTGAAATACAGTCTCCAGTGTTGGAGGTGGGGCCTGGTGGAAGGTGTTTGGATCACGGAGGTGGATCCCTCATCAATGGTGTGGCACATCCCCTTGGTGATAAGTGAGCTCTCACTCTGAGTTTATGTGAGATCTGGTTGTTTAAAAGTATGTGGCATCACCTGCAACACTTTTGCCATGTGATGTACCTTCTGCTTTATCTTCCACCATGAGTAAAAGCTTCCTGAGGCCTCACCAGAAGTCCAGCAAATGCCAGCACCATGCTTCCTGTACAGCCTGCAAAACTGTGAGCCAATAAAACCTCTTTTATTTATAGATTACCCAATCTCAAGTATTTCTTTATAGCAATGTGACAATGAACTAAGGTTGAGTGCGGTGGCTCACGCCTGTAATCCCAGCACTTTGGGAGACAGGTGGATCACTTGAGGCCAGGAGTTCAAGACCAGCCTGGCCAACATGGTGAGACCCCATCTCTACCAAAAATACAAAAATTAGCTGGGCATGGTGACACACACCTGTAATCCCAGCTACTCAGGAGGCTGAGGTAGGACAATCGCTGGAACCCGGGAGGCAGAAGTTGTAGTAAGCTGAGATCATACTGCTGCACTCCACCTAGGTGGCAGAATAAGACTTGGTCTCAAAAGAATGGACTAACACAGTACCCTCACAAAAGAAGCCCCAGAAGATCCCCATCTACCATGTCAGAACACAGCTAGAAGGTGCTGTCTATGAGCCAATAAGTGAACCCTCATCAGACACCAAATCTACCAAATCTGCTGATGCCTTTATCTTGGACTTGCCAGCCCCTGGAACTGAGAGAAATAAATTGCTGCTGTTTATAAACCATCCAGTTTATAGTATTTTGTTATATAGCCCAAATGGGCTAAGACAAGTAGATAAACCAGCTCTGGCACAGCCATACAATGAAATATTATTGAGAAGTAAAAAGGAAAGAAACATTGATACATGCAACAACTTGGGTGAATCTCAAATGCATTATGCTACTTGAAAGAAGTTAGACTCAAAAGACTACATACTGTGTGATCCCATTTATACCATATTCTGCAAAGGCAAAACGGTAGCAACAGAGAATGTATCAGGGTTTCCAAGAGCTAGGGAGAAGGGAAGATTGGACTAACATAACAAAGAGAAGCTGCATTAGAGAGACTTTTAGGCTGATGGAACTGTTGAATATCTTAATTGTGGTAGTGGTTACACAAGTCTATGCATTTGTCAAAATCATAAATCTGTACTCCAAAAAAATGTTACAATACGTAAATTAAAAGTACACTTTTGAAAATCATCAATAAAGTTTAAAAAGAATAAAAACTTTTGATCAAGTTCTGTCTCACTTTATAAGGGATCAAGTTTTTGGTCATTTTATTGATGTACAAGGTTCAGGTGTACTCTCTCACTTATTCATTTATTCTTTTTTTTTTTTTTTTTTTTTTTT